TTTTGCCCTATTTTGGCAAAAGACAGCATCCTGTTACAGCTTCACTTTTGTCTGAGATGGGAACAGCCCATCACAAACCCTGAAATGAGACTTTGTTCCAAGGCAGTGGTGCACTATCATGAAAGCTCATGAGGCCCTGGCACAGGTTGCCCAGAAAAGCTGTGGCTGCCCCATCCCTGGAAGTGTTCAAGGACAGCTTGGATGAGGCTTAGAGCAATCTGGTCTAGTGGTAGATGTCCCTGTCCATGGCAGGAGGGTTGGAGCAAGATGATTTTTAAGGTCCCTTCCAACCCAAACCATTCTGTGATTCTATGAAAGAATCTTGAGCACCCTCCACCCAACCAAGCCATCCTACCACTTAAAAATATTGGCCTAGCTCACCACACCCCTGCCATGCTGCAGCTCTTTCTGTATAAAACAACTCCTGTCCATAGTAGATTCTGGTTCCAAACCCCCCAGATTCTGGGTAAAAAGGATGGTGCTCTGTTTTTGCGAAACAGCAGTTACAGAGCCCAGGGGCCACCCTTCTGGCAGCGTTTTCCTCACTGGGGAAGTCTGCCTTCCCTCAAAGGAAGGAGCAGAATGCTTCTGGGAGCCTCTGTCCCTGAATAGTCTGCACCATCTGCTGGCATAAGAGAAGGACTGACTCACTAACCATGAATTCTGGGGATGCAGGCGACTTTGGGGAATAAAAAGTCCTGGCTCCAACCTGCAATTATGCATTTCTCCCAGTCTAAAAGGAGAAGAATGGCTGAAGATAATGCCTACCCCTCTAACCAGTGTAATGACACATACCCTTCAAAAAGAGGCTGTAATTACAGGGCCAGGCAATTTTAACAAGTAAACCCACAAGAATTCAGCCCTACTATGAGGGCACAGCTCTAGCCCACAGGGAACATTTTAGCTTATTTATTTATACAGATTCATTCCTAACATTCAGAAATACCATTCCATGCCTTAGGTAAGTCTTGCCTTGGCTACTGTAACCTCCCCGAATGCCACCCTCTTGCACTGCAACCTCTGCATAATTTGAAACTCAAGTCTTTTGACGCCTCTGCCTTCCAGCTCCCCCTTCTACAAAGTTTTTTCCCTTGTTCTCAGTTTCCTGAACAGCTTGGTTCTTATTTCCTATTTTCTCTCCTGTTGCCATCACTCCTCCTCCAAGCTATTCTTGTCAAACTATTAATTTCATCTTATTTGACAGTACAGCAGCCCTCCATGACTGTGCTTCGCTCAACAAATTATCAGTTACACCAACCATAAGACTCTTTTTCACTCCACCGGCTTTCCAGAAGAGGCAGTTTGTAAAATGCAAAGTAATATTAATGTCTCTGCTCAGGAATTTCCACTTTGCATTGCTAAAGCTTTCATTTTGACTGAGCTGTACTCTGAAAAGACATGACTAGCACAGGGCGTCTGCTCTATCCATCTGCACCACTGGCTCAGAATATCAAATAAGTCTCAATATCTTTAATATTAGATGTATTTTTTCCTTACCAGAGCAAATTCGTATCATCAGTACTTCCACAGCTGAAGTGAGCAATGTTCAGACAGCATATTGAACCCAAACCAGAACAATAGTAAAATGTTTGTATTGATTTAACAAAACTGATTTTGTTAGATGAGTTTAATGCACCATTTCAGGGATACCCTTCACCTACAGGAATAAAACTGGTCTTTCATAACATTCTATGCAACTACCACTCTGATTTAAACGGTTTAAAATGAAACCTATATTTAAACAGATGGGAGTTCATTTGAAGATAGAGACGAGACATAAAAACTTCTGTAG